TTTATTTTGTCAGACCTTCATGCCTGATATAAATGAACACTTAAAAATGTTATCACATCTAACAGTAGGAGAATATCTTGTAGAAATGAACACTTCAGAAATGTTGTAAGATCTTGCAATAACAGTCATTTATTCAGCTCAAGCGTGTGTTTTGACGAATAATATTAATAGTCTAAACAGTGAATCAGTTTGTTTTGAATATATCGTATATACCAATATGAAATAGTATTTTTTTAAATCTAATTTCCTCCAAATCTGGTTCGCAGTAAAAGGATGGTTATGTTTACATTTTTTTTACTGTTATTTTATTTTTCATACATTAGATTATTTGTCAATTCAAGCACGACTTTGTATTTTCTTTCAGGTAGCTATTTTTTACATTAAAAAATCCCCTGGCTTTTGCAATTTTATTTATAAAGGAAGAATTAATTATAATGTTTTACGGTAAAGTGTGTATTTTAGATGATCTTGCTTGAAACAGGCAATTTTAACGACTTGAAACCAACTATATTTTGATGATATCTTTAATTAGATCCGATTCGTTTTTTTTTCTTTTCTTTTTTTTTTTTTTAAGCTGGGAACGGACAGATATTTTGTCGACATCGTTTTCATTGAGAAAATAATCAAAATCAGGTAGGCCTACGTGTTTAACGATAGCGTCACCTGTAGGCTCATGTGGCCCGAAGAACATTATTAGATAGAATGGATCCAATTTCTTTCGATTTGTATCGTATTACAATCCTAATGGAGGCTTGTTATCGTGCATTCACTCTGATTCAGGAAATAAGACATTGGATTTGTTGATTTTAAAGAAATAGTTTTCTATCGAATGTTTGTGATGGAATGTAATTTAGTGTGAGTACAGATTACAAGAGAAAGAATCATTTATGTGCGAAATATTTAAATCCGATAATGATTCGGTACAAGAAATAGTGATTATTGTAAGGATGATGATGATGATGATAATAACAATAAAAATGATAATGACAATAATAGTAAAATGATGATGATGATGGTGATAATAATAATAATTATAACACTAATAATCATAATGATAATGATTATAATAATGATAATCATAACAATAATTATGATGATAATGTAATAGTCAAAGACTGAATGACACGGCATACATCTACAGACGCAAAGAAGGCTTTGGAGATGGCCTTTCAAGACGCAACAGCCATTCGGAAAATTATCAAGTTTACGAGTAGCTAGTCTTTTATCACCATTTCTCTCCCACTCCCCCTCATCGTTGTGACATAAAGCGACAAAAAGGGATACTATTCACGCCATCAAAAGAGAGTGAGAACTGTGTGACGCTTCCCTTCACGTGGCCAAGAGCTGGCTTACACGTTGGGTCGCCACGGCACCTGCGCTCCGGTGGCTGTTGCCGGTGTGTGTGTGTGTGTGTGTGTGTGTGTGTGTGTGTGTGTGTGTGTGTGTGTGTGTGTGTGTGTGTGTGTGTGTGTGTGTGTGTGTGTGTGTGCATTGCATATTCGTTTATATACATGCATACATACACGCATACACACGCACGTACGAACGCGCGCACACATACACAGTTGAATTAAGATTTCATTTTAATGTAATAGTGTCATAGCAATGTTAATAACAATGATAATAATATTAATGATGATAGTAATAACGAAAACAACAAAATGATACTAATTACTATTACTATTACTGTAATACCAGCAGTAGCACCATCAAACTCACCACAACTACAATAACGATAAAAGTAGAGGCAACCAGAGAGCGCATCTTCCTCCAAGGCAAAAAGGTTACTGATGCAGTAAAAATATTCACACTTGAATTTCATTAAGTAAAGCTATGGCACACCTCTGGTAAACTTAAAAAAAATATATCCTGCTAACGAATAAACTAACTAACGCTATCAAAAATATAACCTTAAAGGAGATAAAACTCCTACAAGAACGTCTTTGAAAGAATCAAAACTGAACTCAGGAATGCATGTTCTTAGATGTCAGGAGAGAAACCGAACTAATTGAAGAAAGGACGCTGACACTCAGCCATTGTCCCCACGGAAGTCCACAGTACAAAGAGAGGAGTCCTGACCCAAGATCCTGGTCTTTGGGACGTAATGCCTCAGATGTAGAGTTAAAATACTTTGATTCGAGACCCACCAACCTGTTCGGAGGAGCATGTGGGAAAAGTAAAGGCCATATTGATACGATGGTACAGTATGGCGATGAAGAATGGATGAAGAAGGGGAACCTCGGTAGCCATTTACAAACGTTTAAGAGCAAACAGGCCGCTAATTAGACCAAGGAAAATGAGGCTTACGCCTGGAACCGGGAAGGAAATGACTTGGCATGAGACCACACAGACAGAAGTGGCCGTTCCTGTCCGGGAATCCTCCAGATGGGATATAATCAGTCAACAATAATGATATTGATAGGAAATGCAACCATCATCATTATCATCAAAGTTTACGATGGTCCGAGATTCTAACTCCTCGAAAAATGTTTACAAGACAGACCTTTTTAATTCCAGATAGCAGCCAGACGACTCAGCCGGGCCATCGGAGGCGCTGAAGACAGGAAGCACGGCAGGGGACAGCGCAAGGGAGACAGACCCCTTTTGGACGACGAGGACGAAGACAACGACGGCTTCATCAACAGCTTGTACCGCGACGACGATGACGACGACGACAAGGATGACGACAGACCATCTTATGCGAAATCCTTCCGGGCGAAATCGCGTAAGTTTAGTTGCATTTTTTTGGCTTAGACTTCGGGGAAGGGGGGTTTGCTATGTGAAGTTGGAAGTGGTTTGGTTGTGTTCAAGGTGTGTTTGTATGTGTTTCTGTGTGTGTGTGTGTGTGCGTGTGTGTGAAAACGGGATAGATGTGGACGCGGATGATGTATGTGGAAAAAAAACAGGTGGATGGAGGAAGAGTTCTTCGAGTATGGACGTCCGAGGGGGTGGAGGAGGTGGAGGTGGATAAGGTCGATGCAGGACGGAGGGAGTATGGAGGAAGAGGAAAGTGAATAGAGAAAGGCAGTTATAAAAGATGGAGGGAATGTTGGAGAAGGAGCAAGAGGGAGCGAGAGAGAAAGAAAGCGAGAGGGAGGGAGGAAGAGGGGAGAAAGAGGGAGGAAGAGGGAGAAGGAGGGAGGAAGAGGGAGAAGGGGGAGGAAGAGGGAGAGGGAGGGAGGAGAGGGAGAGGGAGGAAGGAAGAGGGAGCTAGGAGAGAGAGAGAGAGAGAGAGAGAGAGAGAGAGAGAGAGAGAGAGAGAGAGAGAGAGAGAGAGAGAGAGAGAGGGGAGAAGGATGGAGAAGGAGTAGGGAGAGAGTCGATGTAATGTAGGCCTCCACAACTGTATGTAATGAATCTTGCTATTTATCGTGCTGCACCATTTGTGACATTTTCTCATTCTATTTATCAATGACTCTCTGATTCGTTTGGGACTCATTTCATGAGAACCAAATACATTTCATAATTCCTCAAACAACCCATGACCTTTCAACTTTTTTTCAGAATGAACCAATCACTTTTGATCCGCTTTTTCTCAAGTCATCCTTAAGATTAAAGAAGGGTGGTCTTTTTCGCACTTCCATTTTTATTTCTTTTTTAATCAAAACCAATACCACTTTGATCAAATACCTCAATTATCTTCTCACAGGGATGAACCAGTCAGTTTTCTTCCGGGAGATACGAACCAGTCACCCGTGATCTTTCTTAAAACGACCGAATCGCCTTAAATTTTCTTTTAGTTAAGCCACTCTTCTAAAATTAAAGACACTCTATTTTCCCTTCCGATGGCTATAAGTAAGAACTCCACGCAACGTCATCACTTATCTTCCTCTTCCTTTAAGACACTATACAGTCACTTCGCAATTTTTTACTTGAAGGTCATTGAACTGAAGTTTATGAAGCGCGTTCTTTCCTGCTTCCAAGGATGTGTTTCCTAGTCGCAGCCTCCCATTTCGACCGAGAGAGGCATTCATCAGTGACCTATTCTCAAAGACGAACCAATTGTTTTTCGTCTCCAGGACATACAAACACCAGCTACATTTCTTCCTTACTTTAAAGATAAGACATAGATTAAGATTTACGAATTGCATTCTCCTCTTTACTATGGTTGTGTATGAGGATGACACTTCCCCAAACCAGTAAATCTCTACCTTTTCTCAGAAGACGAAACTGTTAATTTCTCAAATTACCTAAACGCCAGCTATTGTTTCTCAGTGACAAGCTAATCACAGTTCATTATTCCTTGGACGAATCAACCACCATCCACAATTTTTGAACGACCAACCAATCACCATCCACTATTTTTGAACGACCAACCAATCACCATCCACTATTTTGGACGACCAACCAATCACCATCCACTCTTTTGAACGACCAACCAATCAACGAACGGAACGACCAACGACGACCACCAATCACTCTTATTTTGAACGACCAACCAACCACCATCCACTATTTTGAACGACCAACCAACCACCGTCCATCCTTCTCCGAACTACCCAACCACCATCCACCACTCCTCTAACGACCCAACCACCTGTAAACCACCTTAAAACCACCTTTCTCCCCATTTTCAGGGATGTACGTGAGAACGGCCACCTTCCACTTCGACCTCTACTCCTGCCTCCCGAGGTTCATCTGCGAAGTCCACGCTCAGCCTCCGGGCGCCGATCTCACCGAACTGGAGAAGGACATCATCGCTCTCTTTAGGTAATGGTGATGATGATAATGACAGTGATGGTAATGATGGACAAGAGTGATAATGACGATTATGAAGATAATGGAAGTAGCGATAATGACGATGGGGAAGGTAAAAATGATAATGACAGTAATGGTAAGGATAGACATGAATGATAATGACGATTGTGAACGTAATGGTAGTAATAATAATGACGATTATGAACGTATCTTAGTAATGATAATGACGATGAAGATAATAATGATAATGATAGTGATAGACAAGAATGGCGATTATGAAGATAACGATCGTAATGAAAATGGCGATGAGGAAGTTATCGATGATAATGATAGCGGTAATGAGATACATTATTTATGATAGTCTAAATTGTATTGTAGGTTATCGTATATAGATTCCCCAATTGCAGGTTACAATGGTGGGTGATCCATTTATGATAACGAAAAATACGTTTGTTTTGGTAAATGATGAGAAAGTAATGGGAATTATCACATATAATTTTATTGCAATTAACACCGAAGATAGTAACAATAGTTATGATAATAATGATGACAAAAGTAATCATAATTAAAAAAATAATCATAATAATAACAATGATAATGATGGTGATAATAGCGATAACAACAATGATAATGATAATGATAACGGTAATATCAGTATTACTTCTACTACAAATATTGATATTGATATTAATAATATTTTATTATTAATATTATCATGCAGATAATAATAATTATAATAATGTTATTAATCATGTTAGCAAAAAAAGACGATCGTGCTATATTTACTACGATATTTTAACATTTAGTTTTGTGATGATAAATTTTTGGATGATGATAATGATAATGATAATGACTATGATACTGATAATGTTAATGCTATGATAATAATGATATAAATAATAATAATGATATAACAATAATAACAATGATAATAATAATGATAATAAAAATGATGATAAAAAATAATTCTAATAATAGTAAGATAATAATAATAATAATGATAATTATAACAATAACGTCAAGAAAAAATAACGCCCGTAACAATAACATTCAACAAAAGAATAACAATGCACTTCAAGGAAATCGAAAACACAGCCAAAGAACATGAAATGAAGATCCTGTTTTAAACTCCTTGGATTATTTTTCACCCGAGTTCCAAAAGGCGACCATTCGCTCCGCTTTGATTTTACATTCTTCAACAAAGGGAGTCAGTGTGAGGAAAAAGTGTGTGAAGCCGGATCTCTCTGTGTGGTAATTAAGGATACAGATGTTTGTAATAGTTTTTTTTCTTCTTTTTTGATAGTTCATTTCTGAGTATTGTGTAATTTTGATTTCAAAATCTGTGTGGCGAGACTGCATTCAGAGGTAGTGGCAGACGAGACGGCGCGTGGCTATTTTTATAATGTTATTGGATTTGAAGTTAAACCGACCGTCCGGAATGTTAGAATTATTATTGATTATTGACGTGATTGATGTAGATATAATTTTCTTCCAATCCAATTTGACTTTCCGAAGTCTGAAAAGAGTTAATCTTCCAAAACTGTGGTTCAAACTCATCATAAATGTTTGTAATGAAGAGGGTATATTCCTCTAATAATCTGTACATTGTATTACATTAAAGCCTCAAGGAAGAGAGAAAGAGACCGAGCAGAAATGAACAAGATTTTTTTTCGCTTCCCATTCTTAACTATTCCGGAACTCGCGTGTTATGATAAAATTTCTCCTTCATACATATATTTACACATGTGCAAGCGTATTCAAATTCAGTTCTCGAAATTCCTTAGAAGCCCTGGTTAACAGCATTTACAAGATGTCTTCTTTTATATTGTTCCTCGACGTGTAGACTTAAATCAAGGATTCAAGAAGAAAAACACTTTAGCGAAAACTTTTTGAAAAGATTGCTTGTCATAATAAGTCTCAATTGCAAGAACAGAGGAAAAAATTAAGAGTAAAAGAATGAATCATAATGACAATAATTGTAGAAGAAAATGATAGCTGTAATAAAATAATGATAATGATGATATAATCAATAATATTTGTTCAAACTATAATGCAAGTACGCGTATAATACGAATAACAATAATGTAAATTTATTTTGACATAAGTAACTATAAAAATTATAATAATAATAATCATAATTTAATAACAATAACACCAACAACAGTAGCAGTAGTAAGGATAAAAATAAAAATGATATAAGTAATAATCATAATTTAACAACAATAACACCAACAACAGTAATAGTAGTAAGCATAAAAATAAGAATAATAAAAGTAATAATCAATTTAACAACAATAACAATAAAACAGTAAACCAAAATAATTGTTTTTTTCTTCATCTCTTTCCCACAGGAACTACGTCGTGATGGAAGGGCCCGGTTCCCCCGTCTATTCCTACCAGCTGGCGGCACACATGGGCCAGCTGGCGACAGGAATAGATCCTTCCCCGTGCCACGGCCTCTACCCGTCCTGCCCGCTGTCCCGACCCCAGTTGCTTGACGTCCTCAGGAACGTTCGGAGTTCGAAGAGGATGTTCTATTAACCGGACGCATCCCCCCCCCCGTCCTCTCTTCCCTGTGGCTGGTCCGGTGACTGGATTCCGCCCTGTGTCCTTATCCGGATGGGTTTAAAAAGAGAAAAATGATTTTAAGGATTCTTGGGATGTGTTTTGTGTTTTATTCGGTACTTCGGAGTCTCATATTTATTCGGGTAGTTATATGTTGTGGTGTGTGTGTGTGTGTGTGTGTGTGTGTGTGTGTGTGTGTGTGTGTGTGTGTGTGTGTGTGTGTGTGTGTGTGTGTTGTGTGATTATATATATGTATGTAAGTATATAAGTATATATATATATAGAGGAGAGGGAGAGGAAGACGAAGAGAAAGAGTAGAAGGGAGAAGGGGGAGGGAGAGGGAGAAGGGAGCGGAGAGGGAGAAAGGGAGAGGGAAAGAAAAGGAGAAGAGAGAGAGAGAGAGAGGAAAGAAAGTGAGTGAGTGAGTGTGTGTGTGTGAGTGAGTGAGTGAGTCTAACCACATCATAATCTATTTTAAGAAAAGTCATCAAATGTCATAAATCTGACATAAACAAAGATATCTGGATTCGACTGCATCGCATCTAAGCAACACCAGTAGTTTAGATTACTCTAAGAAAACAGAGTAATCCTATATATATATATATATATATATATATATATATATATATATATATATATATATAATATATATATATATATATATATATATATATATATATATATATATATATATATATATATATATATATATATATATATATATATAATATATATATATATATATATTATATATATATATATATATATGTATATATATATATATATATATATATATTATATTATATATATGTATATACATGTATATATATGCATCACCGTAACAAAACTTAATGGCGAATATTGGTTTTCTTGTTCCGTATAGCACCCACTGTTAATTTTGTAGAATATATATAAATAAATTCAGGTGAATTATTGCGTCTTTAGGTATTTAACAAAAGGTTTTGTTATTATTTTTATATTTATTGTTATCATTATTGCATGTTTTCTATTATCGTTATTATTATCATTGGTGTTATTAATGATTATAATAATAGTGATGATATTAATATTCTGATCATCATTCTTATTATTACCAATGTTTTATTATTTTTGATATTGTTATCAATATTGTCATGGTGATTATTATTATATATTTTTTATTATTGGTATTACTATTATTGTTTTTATTATCATTATGATTATGATTATCATTAGCATTATTATGATTATGATTACAATGTTATTAGTATCATCGTCATCATCATCACCATTATTAATATAGATGTTTTTATCTTTTTTTTTGTTATGAGTGTGCGTGTGTGCGTGTGTGTGAGTGGGAGGGATGCCAATGACAGCAAAGCCTCCCAGTGTCTCTAGTCTTGTCTGAAGGAGCACTCCTGTGTCTTGTATTTTGTTTTGTGTATATTCTTCCTTATGGAGTTCTGTAAATAATGTATTCGCTGGCAGCATACTATGTTGATTATATGATATTTAAGCGTTTATTTTCATGTTCGTGCTTAGTGTGTTTTGTGTATAATGAAGCTAATGAAGTAAATATTGTATATGAGGATAACTGGTTTTATTGTCAGTGTTTCTGTCTGTTATTCAATATTCCTTCGGATATTTATCTATACCTTGGTCTCTCCCTTCTATCTTTTTGTATCTGTCTCTGTGGCCGCCCTGCTTATAAAAGTTAGTAATGTTTACTAACTATTATAAGCAGGGCTGCTATTATTAAGAATAAATACTTATTGTATATACCATCACTTGTGTTTTATACTCTGCACTCAATTATACGCTGTCTTGCCTGTAATCCATTTTCCATATACACATATCTCCCCCCCTAAGTAAACATAATTGTGAAACCTGTTCATCTCACGTCTCGTTGTTCACGCCATGATATCACATAGACATAACCCAACCACACACAGCTGACTCGAATTGCTTAGTGTTCAAAACAGATCTCGTCCCATTCTCTCATAACTGGCAAGTGAGGTTTAGAGTGGTAATTTTTTCTATTGTGTGGAATATCCTATCTTTCGGGAGACGGCCGGAGCAACACTAATTCTTATTTCTCTTCTGTTCTCTTCTATCTCTCTCTCTCTCTCTCCTCTCTCTCTCTCTCTCTCTCTCTCTCTCTCTCTCTCTCTCTCTCTCTCTCTCTCTCTCTCTCTCTCTATATATATATATATATATATAATATATATATATATATATATATATATATTATATATATATATATATATCTTTCTCCTCCCCTTTCCCTTTCTCTGAAAACAACGACGAGAGAGAAACGAAGACGAATTCGAACAAAGACAAAACCCAAACATAGAAAGACAATGAAGAAAAGCAAGATGAAATAAGCTTTTCTACATTTGCCACAACGAACTCAATTCGCAGAAAGGCAAATCTTATAAAGAGTCGAGGACAGAAAGAAAGGCATGAAACAAAGAAAAAAGAAACATCAGATAAACACACAGATCAAAACAGAATGAAGAAGACAAAGGAACACGTAGGTTTTTCCCCCGAAAATAGTCACATGAAAACATCGAGAACCAGACTGTCTCCCATCCTCGGCTTCTAGTGAACATGTTCTCGACACGTATGGAAACTGATGACTTATGGGCGAGGGTGCAGGTCAGACAAGGGCGTGTGGGCGGGTCTCGCAGCACATAGTTGTTGACATATTCACTCCCACAGTACAGGGCAGGGAGAGAGAGGAGTGAGAGGAAAAGGT